ATCTTCTGAACTGACCTCAAGCTTATTACCTCATATTATGTAGTTAAATGTCAATGTATTCAGGCAATTAATAAAAGTTCCGCCATTTTATAGTAGTTGAAGATATTCACATTATATTCTAGGGTTGTGAAGCATTCGTCAGAAGCTTCAAAAATATGGGTCACAAGACCCCCTTTTCCATTTATTTTTTTCCAGGTGGCACCCAGTCGCCATCTTGAAAGTTTCATCTGTCAATTTCACTTTAAAGTATTCATGCATTAATTTCATTATTCATGTTTTATCATCTTTGGGAAAATAAATGTATTATTATCCCAAATTTCAATTTTTTTAGTTGACCCGTTATAAAATTAAAAAGGGGGGACATACAGAAAAGCACTGTATAAACCTGGAACATTCATTTACGGAAGAATGATACATACTAATACTTCGATAAGATAAGATAAGATAAAGTTAGTGCAGCATTTTTATGATTGAATGGAACAACATTTCAGTGGAGGTTTTGTCTCCAAATGAAATGAAGTCCGCCTTTTTCTCGTCTATATTAGCTCAAGGTCACAAATATAAAGTGTACAATTCATGTGAGAGATAAAAGCAATTGTTATTATTATTACTTTAATTGAATATTATTTTTTCCGTCTGTATGGTAGGTATGGATGAATCATGGTATATCAATAATACGAGATCTCAAAGATGACAGTGGTCTGTCTGCCAGCACCCTGTATAAAAATTCTATGAACATATTCTGATATAATCAGTGTTTTCCCACTCTTTGTAGTATTTAGTTTCTTTCGAATTTATATTACAAACTGTTTTGTTCTCGAACAGCTGTCTAAGATGTCCTAAGTTCGTTATATTATATTTCCAGGCTTTTAACTGCAGATCTCATGGCACGCAGCACCAGCGACTCGAGCATGGTGAGTTCGTTGGGAGATTTTGCCGACGAAACTGAGTGCCTCGTACGAGCCGAGCAGAAGACTTGCAAAAGACGTGCCAGTTGCCAAGCTCTGCCGACTGCCAGGGAACTGGAACACCCGGCTTTTCAGTGTATCAGAAACGTTCAACCGGAAGGACAAACCGTGGTGACACTCAGCAAACTAGTAACTCCCAGTGCCATGCAGCAGTGTTTACTCTTCGCTTATACCGGTACAGTCGATCGTAGTGCACTGAATCTAAGAGTGAGTACAAATGTTAATATTTTTCACTTGTTATTATAGGATTGGATCAGAATACTAACTTGTTAGTATTTTCAATGAAACCAAATAAATCTCACCTGTGTCCTAACTTTAGCCAATATTGAATGTATATTACTGGAGTTTTTTCCCACACCAAACCGTTATTTTATTACGTCACGTGTTTCGATCACCAAGTGATCATCTTCAAGAGGAAGATCATACTAATTAAAGTTAGGGAGCTAACTAATTTCGTTATTCAATAATCATTTCTGATTATATAAGGATCACAATAACTATATAATATACCGGGTGTCCCACATTTTATGTGACAGGCAATATCTGGTTTGTTGAAGGAGATACACAAAAATGTTTCATACAAAAGTTTTAGGAGTTCATGAGAGCTATATTTTGATATAATTTTTAAATATACAGGGTGTTTGGTGTAGGTGCTACAGACCAAAATTCCATTTTTTAAAATAGAACGCCCTGTATATCATTACATATTCAGATGCTACGTTAA